TTACTCCATTAATGAAACAATTACATTGGCTCCCCATCAGTCAACGCATCATCTATAAAATTGTTCTTATTACGTATAAATCTCTGAATGGCTCAGCTCCACATTACATTAATAATATGCGAAAACCTTACACACCATCAGCAAATTTACGCTCCTCATCCAAAGGATTGCTTACCATACCCTCAGTAAAACTAGTGAACTATGGTGAACGATCGTTCTCATATGCTGCACCGAAACTGTGGAACGAACTGGCAGAGTATATTAGAAAGAGTGAGACCTTGCCTATTTTTAAAACCAGATTAAAGACACATCTTTTTAAACAGTATTATGACAAAGTTATTATTTTAACAAGATTATTAGCAATTTTATAGTATTCTATATAGTTGTTGTTTTAATATTATCAACATACATAACATAAAGTAATTTTATATTAATTTTTCTGTGTTGGTGCTGTGTACTCAGGTGAATACACGCCTGCGATGCCACTCCGAGTGCATATCCACACCGGGCGAGCTTGAAAAATATGCCCGGCCACGGTGGGACTCGAACCCACGACCCCTGGAACACCAGCCCAATGCTCCTCCAACCGAGCCACGCGGTCAGGACGGTTCGAGTAAGTGATATTTCGGAACAGTATCTAGTTCCTTCAATACCAATGTGTTCTTGTAATATGAATTTTTTTTGTGCTGGTGTTGTGTACTCAGGTGAATAATATGTTTGTGATGTTACTCTGAGTGCATATATAATACTAGCCCAAAGGTCGTAGGTTCGAATCCCACCGTGGCCGGGCATATTTTTCAAGCTCGCCCGGTGTGGATATGCACTCAGAGTAACATCACAAACATATTATTCACCTGAGTACACAACACCAGCACAAAAAATTCATATTACAAGAACACATTGGTATTGAAGGAACTAGATACTGTTCCGAAATATCACTTACTCGAACTGTCCTGACCGCGTAGCTCAGTTGGAAGAGCATTGGGCTAGTATTCCAAAGGTCGTAGGTTCGAATCCCACCGTGGCCGGGCATATTTTCAAGCTCGCCCGGTGTCGATATGCACTCAGAGTAACATGGCAAACATATTATTCACCTGAGTACACAAAACCAACACAGAGAAAAAAAAAATTCATATTACTAGAAGATATTGGTATTGAAGGAACCAGATACTGTTCCGAAATATCACTTACTCAAACCGTCCTGACCGCGTAGCTCAGTTCGAAGAGCATTGGGCTAGTATTCCAAAGGTCGTAGGTTCGAATCCCACCGTGGCCGGGCATATTTTTCAAGCTCGCCCGGTGTGGATATGCACTCAGAGTAACATCACAAACATATTGTAAACATTTTATATAATAATTGGTTTTTAACTTTTCAACAAATTGTTGAGAAACATATTCATAAAAAAACGGTGGTTATCCGCCCACACGATAAACCCTGGATGAACAGTAAGGTCAGAAAGGCTATCAGGAAGCGAAACAGATTGTTAAAAAATCATTCTAGACTAAAAACGTCGGCATCTTGGGAAAATATAGAGTACAAAGAAATTATACCACAACACTAATGAGATCAAATAAAGCGCATTACTATGCAAATTTAAACAATAAGCTTCAGGAACCCGAGGTGAGCTCAAAAAAATGGTGGGGGATTGTTAAATCTTTATATGGGAAAAAAATGCGCGAATCGGTCCCAACACTCATGGAAGGTCCAAACATAATCACACAGCAAAAAATCATTTTCTTATTAAGAAAACAAATTCTTAATTTAAGAAAAAAAATCTTAAAATAAGAAAATAATTTTCTTAGTAAGAAAAAATTTTCTTGAAATAAGAAATTTTTGAATCCCAAGATATCTTTTTCTTAAAATAAGAAAAAATTTTCTTAATAAGAAAA